GCTTTTGTTTCACTAGCTTTTGGAGATGTATCTTGAAAGAAGTTGCTGTGGCCGATGTCAAAGAGGTTACTGCCTATGTTCTCCTCTAGGATTTGGATGGATTCCTGTCTCACATTGAGGTCTTTCATCCACTTTGAGTTTATCTTTGTGAATGGTATTAGAGAATGGTCGAATTTCATTCTTCTGCATGTGGCCTGACACAAATTTCTGAAAACCTTTAGAATCTACTCTCTTTTATATACCAATGAGACCGCTCATGGAGTGGGGGGGCCAAATGGCTTCAGGATGGAGGTTGGTCCCCAGAAAAACCGACCACCTGATTGTGATTAGAGGGTTAAAACTTCAGCCCCACCCACAGATCTCTGAGGAAGAGAAAATGGCTGGGGACTGAGTCAATCACCAATGACCAAAGATTTATAGTCACCCAGGCAGAAGTATGGGTATCCTGGGTACCCCATTTATAGCTGGCATCTCAAGTGAGGGCAGTCTTGTGGGACAAGCCCTTACCCATGGGGTCTGTGCTAACTCTGGATAGTTAGTGTCAGAATTAAACTGAATTATTAGACACCCAGTTGGTGTCAGGGAAATGGTTATTGGTGTCAGAAAAAAGAACTGGTCAGAAGTGGTGTCAGAAAACACGCAAACAGAAATCATTTTTATAAAACCTTCATTATTGGGTCACAACTTTTCTAAGATTACATTTGAAGCTCAGGCTCATGTTTACTGACCATTAATTCTTAAACTTATTTATGTACAAAAGTCCTAAGTGAATATGACAAAGGTATGGAACTTCTTTTAAGAACAAAGTATATACATTCACTATTTTCTTTACAATTTCAGATGTCTCAAGGACCACTAATTTCTAGTCTAAAAAAGGAAGTCAGTCCAGAAGATTTTATCAAACATGAGAAAGTCTTTATGTCAGTTTGGATTGGAATTTCATATTAAAGTCCTACACAAGTATAGAGTGGTGGTTATGTTACAGTCGTCCATTAGGTATTTTAAGAGAGTAAATGAATAGATTGCTTAGAGCAAAGTATATCTCTAGATAGAAAAATATAAGAAGGAACACATAAACCCAGCCAGAGAATATTTACAGAAATAAATTATGGAAACAGGTAATATCAGAGACTCAAATATCTGAATAAGTTTTTCTACTTCTGGAGTATAATAGGCATGTGTGCCAAAATTAAATGATGCTATCGAGAACCAAAAAAACCATTAATGACTAGCAGAGTAGCTTCTACATAGTAGAAACTCAATAAACAGCTCTTGAATTCAAAAGCCTTTCTTCTTCGGAGAAAATTACTTTAAAAAACAAACAAAGCACACTGAAAAAGCATACTAAGCAGTACCTTGGTGACATATAATGAAAATAAATTAAATTTGCAAAAGGGAAGCTTACCAAATTAAGTTTTAAAAGACAATTAAAATTTTATAAAGAGAAAAATGGTGATAGCCTTCACTTTGATTATAAAACTGAATCATAATTTAGACAGTTCTCAGTAAAATCAGGGACAATTCTGCTTCTTACTACTTCAGTTTTCCTCTGAATAAAAGAAACCTCTAAGTTTTTTATTGTAGTAAGTGTCTCGAGAACTCCATAAACAGGATATCATTCTATTCTTGTGACACGAGAATAGCCCCCAATTAGGAACGAAGAAGGGGGAAAAAGCCTACAGAGTAATGTCTACATTAGTACCTATATACTATTGTCTATAATATGAAAGCACTTGCCTGGGTTAGGAACAGTACATCCAAATACACAAAACAACACATTCAAAGAGTTTCCTCAATTTATGCTGTTTTCCTTTAAGGATACATATTACTTTATGTAAAACTCTGAATTTGGGGGCACCAGGGTGGCCTCAGTCCATTAAGCATCTGACACTGATTTTGGATCAGTGAAGTCCCAAAAGTTCATTTTTGCTTTTGTTTCACTAGCTTTTGGAGATGTATCTTTTTTTTT